CCTCCACCCCGACCTCTTCTCCCCTCCCCTCCAAACCCAGCCAGCCCCGGGAACGCGTCCCCGCTCAGTCGCCCCACCCCTTTATAAAGCACCGCCGCGACCACGGCTTCCTCTCCCAGCTCCGAAACTGCCGCTTCAAATGCCCCACCTGACCCGCCGGAAGTGCGTCATGCTCAGGCGCCCGGGCGCTCGTTTGCCGCGCGCGCCCTAGTTCACTGGTCTCATCTAGGGTCTTGGCTTTTTTCTAATTTCTCCTTGGTTTTTGACTTTCTTCTGACGCTGTTGTCTGCTGCTTACGAGATGCCGTCTTCTCTACTGGGCTTGGCGATGCCAGCCTCCACCGGAGCCGCATCCCTGCAGGAAGCTCTGGAAAATGCCGGGAGGCTGATCGATCGTCAGTTGCAAGAAGACCGCATGTACCCGGACCTTTCCGAGCTGCTTATGGTGTCTGCCCCAAGTGAGTGATGTGATCGGTGCCCATTTGGTGACTGCTTCTGCAGCCGCAAAGACTCTTGCCTGACTCCCTTCGTCCATCCTTATCCCCAGGGTGGACCCTGCAGATACTCCGCGATATGTTTGCTGCATTTGAATTTCCAAAACAAGGCTATCTTCAGTTTGTTTTCCTGGCTTCGCTTTTATTGCAGATGCTTGAGACCATAGGCATGAAGAATAAGTCCGCATATGAAGGAGAAAGAGATAAAGACTCCAACCCCAGAGTTTCTCGCTGCCTTCTATTGTTTAAGAGCTAGATAAGGAGCATCGCTTAATTCAAGTCTCATCCTTGTTATTTCATCCTGTTCCTATCAGAGTAAAATGGAAGAGCAAGTTGATTTGGAAATTTACCATGTTCTCTTTCAGATTTGCTTTATTAGTGTGGAGTTAGTGTGATATGAATGCTAGATGTTAAAAGAGCTACTGGTCAAAGAAAGAGAACAGAGAAAGTAGGGATGATAGACAGAGAGGGTAAGGCAGATTATGAGCCAGCAAAAGAGCGGTGACTGGAAAATACTGGTTAACGGTGTTTAATTATAGCCCTGTTCTTCAAGGCATATAGAATTATAAAAAGTTGCTAGGAAAAAGTGACCTTTTTATGAGATGGAAATTGAAGGAAAGATGGTAAGCATGATGAACTAACCAGGATATCTGCCTTGTAAACTTAAAAGATAGTTCTAGCAATTTGTTAAAATCATTGAAAAGATCTGTAATCAGAGAAAAGGTAGAAACAAAGCAAAGATAATTATTTGTGCTTGATAGGTATTTACCAGTGGCCTTATCTTTCATGAGTGACCTATTAGCTGTTATTTTCAACAGCATTACTCAATTTAACCTCCTAGGGTTTGAAAGCATATTCTAAACACACCCCATACTTTCTGGTCCTCTCATCATATCTGACCCAAACCCCCACCTTACCCGTCTTCACACAACTTTTTTCCCACCTAATCTCCCATTTTCCATCCTATTCTCAAGTCTCTTGTTACAGTCACTTTACTGTTTCCCATAAGAAGTACCCTCTTCGGGATTTTCTTTTACGTTTTCTTCATCTCCGGACTGTTCTTTCTATGCCTGACAAACTATTCTTCCATATTCCCTTAAGTACAGCTATCGCTGTGATGCTTTCTTTTCCATTCACTCCCTCATCAAAGTAACTAAGTCCATCCGTTATGTTCCTGCTACTGTTTAACATGTGCAGTGTTCTATTTAAATTATGGTTTAAGATTATATGAGATTTGCTTTCAAAAATCTTTTAGGGAAAGTAAGGCTAGTAATATAAATGTAACTTGATCAGGCATGAAATAGATACTTGTTGAGGTTAGGTAATCAGTACACAGAAAGTTTGCAAATTTCTCTGTAGTTGTATATATATTTGAAATTACCTTAATATATTTTAAAACACTTTTTTTTGGTAGTGTGCAGTACTTCTGTCTGCCTAGTCGATGCCCAATACATTATTATTTTAAGTAAATGCTTTATTTTTGTAGATAATCCCACTGTTTCTGGCATGTCAGATATGGATTATCCTCTACAAGGACCTGGTTTGCTCTCAGTACCCAACCTTCCAGAGATAAGTTCCATTCGAAGAGTTCCTCTTCCACCAGAACTTGTTGAACAGTTTGGACGTATCCTTTTATGTTCTATTTAATGCTTTGAAAAATGTTGCTATCACATTATTGTGAGTCTACGTCATGCTTAGTGTCTTATATGTTCTTGTAAGGTCTCTAGTATGTGACTAGTATGCTATATATGTAGAAAGTTTCATAAAATTAAATGTTGAAAATTGAGTCACATTTTGTTTTGGAGAGGGAGGAAAGTAATTTGTTAAAGAGGAGCTCTGCATTTTTGAATGGTAAGTTACAGACTGTTACTTTTCAATTAAGTGCTATACAAGAATGTTTTTACTACCATACCTTTTAGTTCAAAGATCCATGATTTTCATTTTTGTTTTTCACTATATTTTAACATTCAACATATTGAAAGAATGCCTCTAAATGTTGAAAGAAATTTCCAGACATTTACTTCTTTTGCCCTAAAGTTTTTGCTGTGCTTTTTACACTTACTAGTATCTAAGAGTTGCATTTCCACTTACTATTGTTTTAAGTAATTACATGCCTAAATCATCATGTCAATCTATAATTAAGGTATAATACCCTGAAGTACCGATGGCATTTTCATACACTGAATAACTAAAACTGTTCTTATCTTCTAAAAATAGTTACTTGCTTTTTCTCATTTGATTTGCAGCATAGCATATAAAGGCCATAGTTTTATAGTAACTTGCTAGGAAACTTTACATCTATCTGTAGCTCTCATGATGAAGACATTCAGGTGAAATATAAAAATTTCATCTGATACTTTAAAAAGTCTATTAACTTATTAGAAGTGAAAAGGTTTCATATTTAATACAGTGTGACTCAGAAAAAGGAAATGGAAAATTAGGGGAAATAATTGACATAAGTAGAAAAACTAGTAAAATCTAAAGATATTTTCCCTAAACATTTCAGTATTTTCCTGAGACTTTGTAAAATAATACTTTTAAGTATGTAATACCCCTATCCTGTCCTCTCACCTTGCTTAGTTTCTTAATACCCTTGAATCCTCTGATAATGTGATACACTGTTAGAGAAAGTTCCTTAAGTTAGGGAATTATTTCATTTACAAGGTCTTATAACATAATTCTTTTTTTTTCTTATAACATAATTCTTTGTCTATTTTTCAATTGCATTGTAAGAGGCTTGCCAATTATCAGTTTGACTTTAGCATGCCATGTGCTTTTTTACTACTCTAGCTTTCACACAATTGGAAAAACTGATCATTGAGATATTTTTTAATGTCATAGTTCAGTAATGTTATAATTAATATTCTTTTAAGTTAGTAATATAAAAGCCATTGTTCTTACAATTGATTTTAAGTGAAGATATTTCATTTGGACCTGTTAATAATGAATTAACAGATAATGACTTTTAAAAATCATTTTAAGTAAAACTTTAAGAAAGTTTAAAGAAGATGAGATGCAAATCTACCTTACATCCACACTACCTCAGATATGCAGTGTAACTGCATGATGGGCGTGTTCCCGCCTATCAGCAGAGCTTGGCTTACAATTGACAGTGACATATTCATGTGGAATTATGAAGATGGGTATGTACTTAAGTTTGCTTTAGCTTGATTAGGAGTTAGATTATCTTTAATTTGGATACAGTTGTGCTCATTGTTTTATCTTTCACCTAACATCTGGATAGTTACCTTGCAATATACATTCCAATCACTGGGGATAACATGGAGAGCCTATTATAGGAGTGAGGCTCAGGATTCTGCCTGTGTATAGGTCATAGGTGGTGCTGCTGGCCTAGGTACCATTCTGAGGGCCAGGAGCCTCGCCCAGCCAATAGGAAAGGTAGTCTTTCAGTAATTCTTTCGAGGAATGGTTTGATGTTTTTGAAGACTTGTGTTTTCCTTGCATTCTTGTGAAATGCAAGGCTGTTAATTTATTGAATTGACTCTGTGCTTGATTTATGTGTAAATTAAATATATGTAATGAGAGCCTGAGTGAAGCCTCATGGAGTTGAGTTGATCTTTCTCTTGACTTTTTAGAGATAATTTTGGCTTACTTCTAGTTCTCTATGCAACTTAATGTCCTCAGGTGGGATAACTGGAGGAAAGTCCACTTAGTTAACATGTTACTTTTGCTCCTGAGCAATTAATGTATTTTTAGGAACACGCATAAAATATTGTAGTAAACTTAAATGAAACCATTTTTGTTTGTTATTTTTATTTTGTTACAGGTTTTCATAGTGATTTTTATTTCCCTTAATAGCTAACATATTCATTTCCTTAGCAAATGAACTTATAATGTATCAGATAGGAACTACTGAATGCAATAAAAGTCCCTGTCCACCTGGAATGTCACACTAACCTTAATGTTTGTTCAAAGTGGAATTCTTTTTTTTTTTTTTAAGATTTATTTATTTATTCGTACAGAACTGGGGTACAGGCCAGAGATGTGGAGGATGAGAGGATTCACTAGAGACAGAGTGGGGAGCAGAACAGGCAGATCCATGAAGTATACTGTGGGCAGGTCAGGAGAGGTCTGCCTTGCCATGTGGATCTCCTCGGAGCAGGCGGGGATCGAACTTATGCGGAAGTGGCTTAAGCTTCTTTGTGCTGTGCTTTAACACGCTGAGCCACCAAAGAGGGCCAAAGTAGAATTCTTTTAAAGGAAAATCAATTTTTCCTGTTGACCTAACTTCAGGCTCACTAGTTCCTTTCTTTTTTTTTTTTTTAAATACTTATTTATTCATACAGAGCTGGGGTACAGGCCAGAGATGTGGAGGGTGAAAGGATTCACCAGAGACAGAGTGGGGAGCAGAACAGGCAGATCAAGGAAGTACACTGCTGAGGGGAGCAGCAGTGTGGGGATCAGACAGGGATCAAACTCATGCAGAAGTGACTTAAGCTGCTTAGTGCTGTGCTTTAACCCTGCACCACCAGGGAGGGCCACTAGTTCCTTTCTTAACTCTATAAAGTCTACTGAACAAGTCCTGAGACATTCTTTTTCTGTTCTGTGCTTTTTATTTTTAACATTTTCACTGACTTTTTTTTTTTTTTCATTTCTGCTGCAAGTCCTTGCCTTTTCCATTAGAGTCTATTCTTTTTTTGTTTGTTTAACTTATCAAAAAAGTTTGGGCTTATTGGAAGAGAGGAAGGGAAAAGATGTTTGCACAGACACAAACAGGCAAACAGAGCTACTGGAGTCTATTCTTGCCTCTGGTAGGTAGACATCTGGCTCCTAGTTGGGTCTGGTCTGATGATTGTTTTGTTCTTTCATAGTGGAACAATTTTTTCTGCTTCTTGTTTCTCATGCTTTTTTGATTAAACCTGTACATGGGGAAGACACCTGATACTGTATAGATTATCCTCAGAATTAGGCATATGTCTTCTTTTGCCAGGACCCAGCAGGTAAGCCTTGTGGTGGGGGATTGAATCCGGTTGAGCGAATTTGGTTTTGTTGTTGCCAGTAGGTCACGGTTTTAAAATTCCTTTAGAATTACTTGTGCTTGGGATACAGGTTGAATTGGTGGAGTTTTTTCCCCTCATTGTTTCTGTTTCCCTTAGTGTCTACCCTCAGCCACAGACTTCCCTTTCTGAGACGGTTTCTCTACTTGCTTGCCCCTTCTTTGCTCCTTCCCCGGAAGTAGATCAAGGAAGATAGTTACTTGAGCCTTAACACGTGGTGGAGAGGATATCTGGAAGAACTGTTTTCCTGGCTCATACTTATCCTTAGGCATGGCTGGTTCTTAATGAAACCATTTTGCTTATGGGTTTATTTTTTATTGTATTCTAATCTTTATTTTCTTTATATGTCTAACCTGCTTTCCTTCAACTATTGCCAGAGGAGACCTTGCCTATTTTGATGGACTTAGTGAGACTATTCTTGCTGTGGGGCTTGTGAAACCAAAAGCTGGTAAGTAAAAATATATGGAGTACATTATGTTTTGAGAACATGTCACACTTTTCATAGTAGGGTCTGACTTTTAAATTAATATAATTCTTGAATTAGTTAACTTAAATTTGTATCACTTGAATATGCCTTTCCTACAAGAGGCAATAATAGGTAACATTCACTTGTTTGCAAGGCCTAAGTAAAAATGTTCTATGGTCACATGTATTTTTAAATTATAATCATGTAAGTGCGAACATGAAATTTTATACACTATATGGTTACTTTGGAAATGTATTTCCTTTACACAGAGTAGACTTTGTCCCTAATAGATGTATCTACTTTTTTCTTCATTGTGAATATATTCATAACAGTGAATGTATTCATATAAAAGCCAACAGTTGTTCCTGCCCCCAGTAATATAAATTGTCCATGATTTCAGTATTTAAGTAGTAAAATACTGGTCAATTGAAATTTATATTTCAGTGCAAAACTGAAATTATGGCATAGTCTTTGATAGGAAACTTAAACTGTTTTGGCTTTGTTGTCCACAACTACTGAAAATTCTGTTAGTAGTTTAAGCCTACAAAGTTCCTATCTTACTCCACTTGCAAGGGAACATTAAGTAAGGTCATCTTTTTAACATTAGTTAAACTCTTTGAAGTATGCTTTATTGATGCTACTTTGTAAGAGAGAAGACTTTGAATTTTGAATCCATGTTTCAACTTTATGATTGTTTCAATAAGCACAAGAAGTCTTCAGATTACCACACTATACCCACTAAGGTGGTTTCTTTTTTTTTTTTTTTAAGATTTATTTATTCATGCTTACAGAACTGGGGTATAGGCCAGAGGTGCAGGGGTGGTGAGAGGAGTCACCAAAGATAGAGTGGAGAGCAGTACAGGCAGACTGATGAAGCACACTTCTGAGGGGAGCAGGGGGCAAGACAGGGGTTTGACCTCCCTGGCCGGGGATTGAACTCTAACTGAAGCTGCTATGTCTAGCTTCATAGTGCTGTGTTTTAACCCACTGTGTCAGCGAGAGGGCCCAGGTAGTTCCTTTCTATTACTGTTTACTCATTTAAATGCTTATAGGTAGAAATATTTAACATCAAAATGTACTAAACTGGAGTCAGACTTTTCATATATCTAATCAATAGCTCATTTTAATGGTAAAAATCTATTAATATTTAGATGCTAGATGTTTTTCAGAAAATAATACTTAGCCCATCTCTATTTTAGGCATCTTTCAACCTCATGTACGACACCTCCTGGTTTTGGCAACCCCTGTGGATATAGTGATTCTTGGACTCAGCTATGCTAATTTACAAACAGGTATAGCAATCCATAGTGATCCACATATTGTGGGTTTGTTGTTTTTTGTTTGTGTTTTAAGTAAAAACAAGTTGGCCAATGTAATAATTAAAAACTGATCTTTCACGCAGTTAACTTTATTGGGCTTTTAGCTCATAGGAAAAGATTTTCCTATTGTTATGGTATCATATATTGTGTATATTGGATCATATCTAATTTATATCATGTATATCATAATGTTCAGTTCTTAAATATTCAATATACAGCAAAGATTGTAGTAGGGAAATAATTGATACAGGTCTGTTTTGTTTATTTTTTTTTGGGGGGGCAGGTCTGTTTTTTAATAATGCTTTAATTCCTTTATTTCCAATTATTTGGATGGTCGCTTTAGCATATGGAACACTGAAATAGAATACATAACTTTCCCTAAAGAAAGAAGTTTTTATTTTATTGTAAGAACAGCTCATGATTTCTTGCAGTCTAGCAATCTGGGGAAAGAAAAGACTTTTTGTGACTCAAATTAATGATTATTACCATATCCTAATACTTTTTTTCTAAGACATAACGATTCATGTTAGTTTTGTTTTCTATTTTGCTTTTATATATACATTATATATTTTAATTATATATTGCATTTTGCATGTCACATATATATATATATACTATAGGTTACACTTACCTTGAATTGTAAAATTCTATTGGTCTTTTTATAGTAATTTAAAAATGTATGTTCTAGAACCTTAGAGTATGTCAAGAATGCGTTAAGGCTATCAATTCTGAAGATAACTCAATGATTCTTTAAAATTTTTTTAAAATATGATAAACTGACTCCTTTATACTTTCTTTCCAAAATAGGTTCTGGAGTTCTCAATGACAGTATGTATGGTGGAATGCAGTTGCTTCCAGATCCTTTATATTCTCTTCCCACTGATAACACTTACCTTTTAACAATAACTTCCACTGATAATGGCAGGATTTTTTTGGCTGGAAAAGATGGCTGTTTATATGAAGTAGCATACCAAGTAAGTTTAGCATTTATCAACACTTTTCTTCTTCCCTCTAAATGGAATGGCAGTAGATTAACCTTTGTTTTAAATTTACTAATTATTCACACATTAATATATTCTTAAGAAAAGTACTTAAACATACAATTAAAAATATAGTCCTCCATGACCATAACATGCCTTTAAAACCCAGAGGTAAAGTCATTTACCATGTCTCTGTATGTTCTTGCAGAACATGACACGTACTTTGATAAGATATAAATATCTTTATATAAGTGCATTAATGAATGTGTGTGCACATACAAGTAAATAGTCTACTTTTGTGTATATATGAGTTCATTTATTACTTATATTTTTCACAATTGAACTACTTTTAAGTGTCTTGAAAACCTTCCCTTGTCACTAACTAGTAGAAATAAATATGTATGTTATGTGTTGTTGATAGTCACAGAGTTCTCTATAAGATAAATATACACAGTTTATTTAACAGTTCTTTTTCTTGATAGACTTCTGAGTTTTCAGGTTCTCTCTTTCAAAAGTGATGCTTTATTAAGTATTTTTTTTGCAGACCTCTTTGTACACATGTATAGATACTTTCTAGTTTAGAGACTTAGAATTCTAATAGTTGGATTATACTGTACATGTATTTAAAATGTTAGTTAATCTTGTTGCCCTCAAAGAGATGTAGAATGTTAGCTAACATCTGTGAATGTATCTCTCTCCTTGTCCCCTGATCCCAGCTCTCTCAGACTAGTATTATCAGATTGACTAACTTTGGCCAATCTGATACGAGGGAAATTGTTTTTATTACTAGTTGAATTGAGCATATTTTCTTTTTTTTAAAAAAAGATTTATTTATTCATACAGAACTGGGGTACAGGCCAGAGGTGCAGGGTTGGTGAGAGGGTTCACCAGAGACAGAGTGGGGAGCAGAACAAGCAGACTGACGAAGTACACTGCTGAGGGGAGCATCTTTTCATGTGTTTAGATCATTTGTGTTTTCTCTATTGTGAAATTCTTGTGTCCCGTGCATGATTGGTTTCTTGCCTGCTGTATTGTTGCCCTTTTCACAGGTATTCTGATAAAATAACTTTCTCACCTAATTTGTGGCAGAGCTAGGATTGAAGCCCAGGTCATCTGGTGGTGGTTGTTTTTCTTTTTTAATATTGCAGTTTCTCTTGGTTATGCTCAGTCACAAAGGACAGGGCTTTTACTGTAGTTTTAAATATGGGAAAACTCTACCACTGAGATGCATTAACTGTAGGTTAATGAGGGTAGTGGCTCTGTTGTTTAAATTTCCTCTTAGCAGTAATGTGAAGAGATAATACAGATACCTATATTTTGTATACATTTAGTACATATATAAACAGTATTTATTGTATATTTTGTATACATTTAGTACATATATAAACAGTATTTATTGTTTCCTTTCAACTTTCAAATGGGAGTTTTTCAGATAATTAAAATAAGGTCACTGACAGCACTACTGATCTGGAATAGACATAATTAAATTTCATTAATGACAGTGACTTGATAGCTAAATACATTTTCTGTTTTTAATTACAGGTCTAAAGGTAGTACCTTTTTTTTTTTAATTTATTGATTTATACATACAGAACTAGGGTACAGGTCAGAGGTGCGGGAGGTTGTGAGAGGATTTACCACCAGAGACAGAGTAGGGAGCAGAACAGGCACATTGACTGAAATACACTGCCATGCCAGTGGCATGGCATCCCTCGCCAGGATTGAACTCGTGCTACAGTGGCTCAATAACATCATAGTGCTATGCTTTAATCTGTTGCATCACATGGGAGAGCCTTGTACGTGACTTTTCAATAGTATGTCTCATTGCAATGACACCTACTTCTATTTCGATAAGATATAGAGATGTTTATAAAATTGAGTATATAAAATTATTACTATAGCAGAGATACCTGCACTTACTTCCATTTTTCTTTTAAGGCAGAAGCAGGTTGGTTTAGCCAAAGATGTAGGAAAATAAACCACTCAAAGAGCTCACTTTCTTTCCTTGTTCCATCATTGCTTCAATTCACATTCTCTGAAGATGGTAAGTAGAAAAGAAAATGACAAACAAAAATGTTAATGTTAACATTTTCTTACAAAATTCTCACTCTTCATTGATTGATTTTTCTTATTAGTGTTTTTTATATAATGACAAGGTTTCTTAAAGGATAAAGTGATTATAGAGCATAGAGATAGAAATGAGTTTTATTCCCTATTTTCTGTAAATCAGGTAACTCTGTCTATAACAAGTATATATATTTAAATCAAAAAGTATGGCTATGCATGTGCATGTAACCTAGTGTTTTCCCTAATTCAGGAAATTTCCCAGTAAAAAATTAACATCTGAAAGACATAAGCAGGTGGAATAATTTTACAGTATTTCAGTGAAAAAAGATAAATATATCTAAAAGTATTAGTGTATTTAAATTATTTCCCTTTACTTAATGAAGTATTAAAGTGGAAAGTTCTTGAAAAGAGGACCAGGTATAACTATTTCACATGTAGCATTATAGCAGTCGTGAAAAAATCACCTAAACTTGGTTTTGGTTTGACCTACCTAAATGTTTCTTGGCTTTGTTCCCATGCATATATTCTAAGACTCACCTGCAAAGCAGAAGGAAAGCCCCTTAAACAAAGTTCTGATTTAGAAGTTTGTTGTAACTACTGTTTGATTACTGAAGATTATTTCAGACATTTTTTTTCCCCTCTCTTTTTCTTTCAGATCCTATTGTTCAAATTGCAGTTGATAATTCTAGAAATATTTTATATACACGATCTGAGAAAGGAGTAATACAAGTAAGTGTTAATATAATATTATACTAACATTTTAGGGAGAAAGAATATCCCTGTTTTTTAAGGAAGATTCACTTAACTCAGACTTTCTATGAACTGTGCTTTTTGAAAAACATCCCAACATTTAAATTTCAAATCTCTAAATATTTTCCGGCCTCTCTAAAGTACCAAAATAATAAATGTTTACTTAAGAGGAAAAGTTTATTCAATAACATTTTATTTGAATGTGATTTTTTAAAAATGTACCCAGTTTGCATGTTTAAATGTGTATACGTTCTTCACAGGTGTATGATTTGGGTCAGGATGGTCAAGGAATGAGCAGAGTTGCCTCGGTGTCACAGAATTCCATTGTCTCTGCCGCTGGAAACATTGCTAGGTAAGATATAATTTATTACTTGGTGTTTTATTTACAACCATAATTGTATTGTTTATGTGCAGAATTTAGCCTTTTACGAAAGGGTTATTCATAGCAATATAAATCTAACCAATACATATTCAAGAAGTTTTTTGTTTTTTTTTAATTGAGGTAACTTTGGTTTATAATGCTGTATATGATTTACAGGTATAGACTCGTACCTCCTCAAATGATGTGTGTTACCACATATACACCAACACATCACCACAGCCCTGCATCATATTTCATTTTGAACCCCAAATATTGCATCGTATATCATTTTGAACCCCAAATATAGAGGCCCAACTTCATTCTCCACTCCTTTTATACGCGCGCGCACACACACACACACACACAAATTTTTAAAAATTATATAATAGCTTATTTTTACATCATTTTGTGCCTTTTCCATCTCAGTTGTAATCCCCGTGGGCTTCCCATCACCAAATCACCTATGTACCATCACCATAGTCCAGTGCATTTCCCCACACCACCACCACCACTGTTTTTGAGCCCATTACCCATTCCACCCCCGTAAAAAGTCTCTGGTATACAGTTGTTCATTATTACCATTATCGTTTTTCTCCCCTGGTCCTTTATACTCCTGCTAAGAGTGAAACCATCTGGTATTTTTCCTTTTCTTTCTGGCTTATTTCACTAAGTATAATCCCTTCCAGTTCCATCCACGTTGCTGTAAAAGGCATGTGTTTATTTTTTTGATTGCTGGGTAATATTCCATCATGTATATGTACCACATCTTTTTAATCCACTCATCTATTTTTGGGCATTTGGGTTGTTTCCATGTCTTTCCTATTGTAAACAGAGCAGCAATAAATGTGGGGGTGCAAGTGTCTTTTTAAATCAGTGTTTTTGTGTCTTTTGGGTAGATACCTAGGAATGGGATTGCTGGGTCATATGGAAGCTCCATTTTTAGCAGTTTGAGAAACCCCCAAACAGTTTTCCATAGTGGTTGTACTAGCTTACATTCGCACCAGCAGTGCAGGAGAGTTCCTTTTTTTCCACATCCTCGCCAACATTTGTTGTTGCTAATTGTTTTAAGATATGCCATTCTCATTGGTGTGAGGTGGTATCTCATTGTGGTTTTACTTTGCATCTCCCTTATTACAGGTGATGTTGAACATTTTTTCATTTGCTTGTTAGCCATCTGCCTTTCGTCTTTGAAGAAGTGTATTTAGCTTTTCTGCCCATTTTTTGATGGGATTGTTTATTTTTGTTGAGTTTCATCAGTTCTTTGTATATCTTTGTGATCAGTCCTTTATCACTAGTTTTGTATAAGGAAATTTTTTCCCAATCAGTGGGATGTCTGTTTTTGTAATTCTTTTGCTGTACAGAAGGTCTTTAACTTGATATAGTTCCATCTATTTATCCTTTCCTTCACTATTGTTGTGATGGGTGCTGTATCTTCAAAGCATTCTCCCTTTTTGATAGCTTCAGCCTTGTAAATCATGTTTCTAGTATTTGTTTTGATTTAACTTTATCTATGTTTTGTTTGTATTCCATATATGAGTGAAATCATCCACTGTTTGGTTTTTGCTTCTGATTTATTTTGCTTATCATAGTCCCCTCAAGTTCTTTTTTTGTCACAAACAAGTGTTCACCTTTTTTTAATGGCTGAACAGTAATCTATTGTGTAATATACCACATCTTAGTCTACTTATCTGTTCCTGGGCACTTAAGTTATTCTATAACTTGGATATTGTAAATATTGCTGCAGTGAACAGTTGTGCATATGCCTTTGAAAAACTGTTTTTGTTTTCTTTGGGAAGATACTTACGCATGACATTGTTGGACATTCAGGCAGGTCTATTTTTTATATTTGAGAAAGCTCCCTACTATTTTCCATGGAGCTAGACCCATCTACATTCCCACCAAGAGTGTACAATGGTTCATTTTTGCCATATCTTAGCCAATACTTGTTATTTCTGTTTTCTAGATATAGGCTGTTTCTAAGGGTTTGAAGTGATATCTCCTTGTGGCTTGATTTTCATTTCCCTGATGATAAGTGATCATCAGCATTTTTTTCAAGTGGTTATTGGCCATCTGTATGTCTTTGGAAAAGTATCTGTTTAAATCTTCTACCCTTGTTTTGATTGGGATATTTGTTTTCTTTTTATTGATTTGTGTGTTTTATGTAGCTCTTGAATGTCAGCTCTTTGTCACATGTATGATATGCAAATATTTTCTTTCATTTGGTGCAAATATTTTCTTTCATTCGGTGGCTTTTTTTCAATTGTTTCCACTGTGCAGAAACTTTTTAATTTGGTGTAGTCCTATTTATTTCTGCTTTTGTTTCTCTTGCTGTTGGGGGTAAAGCCCTGTAGATATCACTGAAGCCTCTATCTAACAGTGTTTAGTTTATTTTAGAAGTGTAAAAATGCTGGTGGGAAGTCTTTACAGTGTGGTAGACACATTTTAAAAATACAATTTAGTTTTCTCCTTTCTTTTAGGACTATAGATCGTTCTGTTTTTAAACCAATTGTTCAAATAGCAGTGATTGAAAATTCTGAATCATTGGACTGTCAGTTACTGGCTGTAACACATGCAGGTATATTTTATTTATGCTTGCTATTGCTGTTATAACTTTTAATAATTCTCAAACTTAGAGTTTATATTTAGAAATGTTTTTACTCTGTATTATCAATCCATATTAATAAATTATACAATTGAAGATAATGAAGACTGTAAGAATTCCTCACTGAATACATGTAAAACCAGGTTGGACTCTGTCTCCTTTTCAAAGAAATGAGTTGTCGACTTAGCAGATAGTAAGTCATGGTGATTTTGATCTAATCAGGAAAATATTTGTTTTACAGTTTCTGTTTGTCTGAACTGTTTTAATAACACATGTATCTCAGTACCCTTATGTTACTGATGTATAATTTTACCCCATCATCAGGTGTTAGGTTATATTTCAGCACTTGTCCATTCAGACAGCCATTAGCACGACCTAATACATTGACACTGGTCCATGTTCGCTTACCTCCTGGATTCTCAGCATCTTCAACAGTGGAAAAGCCTTCAAAAGTGCATAAAGCTCTTTATAGTAAGGGTAAGTTCTGAAATACTGTCTGACTTAATATTTGGTTCTTCTTATTAAATTATTCATTATCAGATTTCCCAGTAAAATTCAATGTTTTTGATATTTTGCCCAAAAATTCCTTTTTCTTTATATTAACATTTTATTTCAAGCATTTTAATGAATATGCACATAAATACTACAGTATTTTTTAAACATGTAAAGACTTTAAAATGTTTTACTTTGGCATGTTATTAACCTGTTTATGAACTCATGAATCAAAATCGGTGTTATAGTGATTATAGTAGACTCTGCATTCTCTTTTTTCAGGATCCTTAGGAAAACTAAAATGACTTCCCTGATGCTTTGTCATCTCTACATCTTAATGGATGTAGAGAGTCTTGCAAGCAGTAATGTAAAATCTTGATGACAGTCACTTTTTGGTTCATTAAATTTAAAAGATTAAATTCTAGCTCTACATAAAAATTAAAAAATTTTCTTTTTCTCATTTGGGAAAGTATTTGTAAGGTTTATTGTCACTTTGTAATTTTTCTGAAACTCTTTGCATTTCTAGTCTGCTCTTTCAACATTTATTTTTCAATACCTAAATGACTTTTTACAAATAGAATTTTTAAAAATGCATAATATCATGCACTTTCTCAGTATTTCTTTAATAACAGCTTTTTTGAGATGTTATTCACATACTGTAAATTTAGATTTCAAAGTATACAATCCAGTGATTTTTTAAATTCAGAATTGTACAACCATTACCACAATCTAATCCCGAAACATTTCTTCACCCAGAAAGAAACTATATCCGTTTGTTACCACCCCTTCCCCACAACCTTTTTCCCAGCTCTGGAAATCATTTTCTTTCTCTAGAATTTTCCTGTTTAGACAATTGATATATACATATATATATATGAAGTCAGACAATATATGACTGACTTCTTTCATTTAGTGTGCTTTAAATTCATCCATAGTGTAGCATACCCATTTATTATTATTGCTGAATAATATGTCCACACTTTGTTGCTCCATTTGGTGGGCATTTGAGTTGTTTTTACATTTTTGGCTCTGTTGCTATGAACAATCATGTACAAGAGATGAATATAAAGTTTCATTTCTTTCGGGTATATACCTAGCCAGGGGAAATGCTGGATCAAATGGTAAGTCTGTTGTCAACCTTGTAGGAACTGCCAGGCTGTTTTTCAAAGCTATTGTAGCTATTGTATATTTACTAGTAGTACATGAAGGTTCTACTTTTCACTACATCTTTATCAACATTTGTTGTTGTCTGCCTTTACATTATGTCCATCCTGGTGACTGCATCCTAGTTTTGATTTGCATTTACCTAATAATGAACACCTTTTCAGTACTTTCATGTATTAAACTTTTAGGAATTCTACTGATGGCAGCCTCAGAAAATGAAGATAATGACATTTTGTGGTGTGTTAACCATGATACATTTCCTTTCCAAAAGCCAATGATGGAAACCCAGGTAAGTTCTGAGATTTCTAAAAAATTCTTTATATAATTTTTAAGTGCATGATAAAATTGCAAAAAACTTACCTTCTCATTTAGTACTGTTTGCTTCAAACAGTCTTACATGACTAGAAATCATGTTGAACAGAAATGTAGCCTGTTAATTCTGTTTTTCCACTGTGAGGCTACAAGTCATGGTAACGATTAAAAATATCTATTTATACGCATTGGGACACTTTTAACATATTTTTTATAATGTTTCTGAAAAATCCTGAGTCTTCTGTGAAATGATCACTATATGTATAAAAAGCTTATTTTTCTAACAGATGACAACTCGTGTTGATGGTCATTCCTGGGCTCTTTCTGCAATAGAGGAGTTGAAAGTAGATAAGATAATCACACCCTTAAATAAGGATCATATTCCAATAACTGACTCACCAGTTGTTGTGCAACAGCACATGTTGCCTCCGAAGAAATTTGTTCTCCTCTCAGCACAGGTACGTTCATATGATGGAACAAAAAAAGGATGGTATCATTTTTAGCACTATTGTTTGATCTAAATACACTGTAAGGTAAGTTTTAATTCTGAGAACAACCAAACATTTCTTACAGTTCTCAAATTTATTAAAAGATATTTTCTTAATATTTTTGAATAGTCATGCATTGACAAAATTCAAATGGTTTAACGCAGTTTTGTGTGCAGTAAAATCTCCACGTTCTGGAGATATTAAAAAAAAAAAAGAATTTTCCCAGGTGATAGTGTGTTATATATATTTATGCCTTGCTTTTATAGTTCCTAAAATATATTTTAGAACCCTTTTCTCTGTGTATGTGTATCTATGTTTATGCATAAAAAAAACTTTTCCATCCTGTTTTATTTTTAAAAAGTACTCCTTTATATAGTTGTACCTATTAATGGATCATGTTTCTTGATAATGATGCTTCCATTTTCTGCATGTATCATTTTGCATATCTGAATAAAGCTAAGAATTGCATTAGCTGGATCAAAGAATATGTGCACTTTTATTTTAATATATTGCCAGAATTTCTATATCCATATATTCACTATAAGTCCTAAGTATAATAAGCTCTCTTATTATTAAGATTAAGACTGTCTTTTTAAGTGCTTATCTTTTGTGAATCGTTTGTTCCTTTTCTACACCTACTTTTCTGTAATTATTTTCTTTCTGATTATAGAAACTCTGTATATCCCAAAAGTTAACATTTTTGTAATTTAATCTTAATTTTATTTCTCCTGGCTTATCATTTGATTTTTGAGCTCATTCCCATTTGGATAAATTTATAAGTACTTCAAATATTGCTTTCTTAGCTGACCACAGATTTTCCGCTTTCTAAGTGGTGGGGACAGCACAATGTTCTATGGTGGGCAGGACAGGTGCTTTGGGAGTAAGAGTGCTACACCTGAGTGGGAAGTCCTATACTGTCAAAAATGATAATATAGCACTAAAAATTAAACTTAAAAAATAGTTTTCTTTTGGTAAAAGTTTTCTCCATGAGGCTCATGATGAATTCACAGTTTCTTCAAGTACTGTTATATTTTATCCTTTAAATCTTGATCTGTTTGGAACTTATTCTGATATAAGTTATGAATATGGATCCAGCTTCATTTTTTCCTAAGTGAACATACTTGTACCAACATAAGCAATGGATAATTAACCTTATACTCTGATTCAGGGGTAGTTTTTAATCACATGCTACATTTTAGTATTTACTTGAAGCTGCTTCAAGTTTTTCAAGTGTTTTGTTGCAATGATTCATGTGCTATTACCATGCATGAAGATAAAAGTTTATCATGTTTTGTATCAGACAGCCAGCACCTTTATAAACTTAACTTGGGGGAGGGGGAGCAACAGTGTTTTTTTTATTAAATTTTCTCTGAATATATATACCTAGTATAGGTTATGAGTTGAAATGGAGATGATCTTTTCTCACCAGTTTACTCTGTATTCTCAAAGTTATTTTAGTTTGGTTTGTTAATTTTATTAAATGAAGCAGACGGGTTAGTTGTTACCAGCCTTGTTTGGTAAATCTACTATTCATATATATATATTTTTTTAACTTTCTAGGGAAGCCTTATGTTTCATAAACTTAGACCTGTAGATCAACTGAGGCATCTACTAGTGAGCAATGTGGGTGGAGATGGAGAAGAGATCGAAAGATTCTTCAAATTACATCAGGTAATTATTTGTGTTTTTTAAAAAATGAGATATTTTAAACACTGAGGTACTGGGATATAATAGCTAAACTTTATTATGTGTATTAAGACCAAATGCTATCATTAACAGGTAATCTTACCAATTTCCAGTTCCTTACCTTAATCATGACAGGGTACTGATCTACCCTCTAGTTTATGGTAGATGCTGTTGTCATTGCTGTTTTTATCATTAAAGTATATTAGTAAAAGTCTGATAATCAAGCTATATGGTAATTTTTTAAATTAAAACCATAATATATTCTTAAGTCCTTTTCTTTTCATTTTTCTGTTTAATGACCTCTGAGGGCTAACTGGAAGTCCTGATGGGAACTTTAATATTTCAAAGCCATATCTAGAATCAAGGCAGAAATGCCTATGCTTAATTTAAAATCAAAAATTGCAGATCAAAGCTAAATAATAAGACTGTATTCAAATTAGGAACTCTACCAATTAGGATAGAGATAGATGACTTGAGTTCTGTGAGCTTTTGTTTTCTAATATGTAAAGTATACATTGCATTATAATGATATATGTTAGGGATAAAAATGCCAAGCTTTTAAAATAATAGCTGGCTATGATGGGTATTCAGTAAATGTTAGCTGCTGTTACTGCTATTTTTGACAAGATAAAAGACCATAGGAACAAGATGAGAGAATAAACCCTAAACTATATAGAATTTAGAAAAAAAAAAAAAAAAGAAATCCTTTAATAATAACACCTGATAAGCTTTGAAGCCAATGATGTTTAACTTCTTTTTCATACCAGCTGATTTCACTCAGCAGTCAAGCACCTGCTCTGTGTGAGGCACAAATTTAAACACCGGACAAAATAGTTAACTATCTTTTTAAATGTTTATTTTTAGTGTAAGGGAAGATATTCTTTTTTTACAGGAAGACCAGGCTTGTGCAACTTGCCTTATCCTCGCTTGTTCTACCGCTGCCTGTGACAGAGAAGTATCTGCTTGGGCTACTCGGGCTTTCTTCAGGTATATGCTAGTTTTGATATTGGCTATTTTTTTTTTTTTTTAAAAGATTTATTTATTTGTGCATACAGGAGTACAGGCCAGAGGCTCAGGGGCGGTGAGAGGCTTCACCAGAGACAGAGTGGGGAGCAGAACAGGCAGATCTATGAAGTACACTGCTGAGGGGAGCAGCGGGCAGGTCAGGAGAGGTCTGCCACGCCATGCAGTCACCTCCGGGGCAGGCGGGAATCGAACTCATGTGGAAGTGGCTTTAGTTTCTCAGTGCTGTGCTTTAACCCACTGCGCCACCAGGGAGGGCCGATATTGGCTACTTTTTAAGTGGTTGCATTGAGCAATGCAAAAAGGGCTTGCCTAACCACTGAGTTACTATCCTTTTTTCACTTTAAAAAGATGAAATCTGGAAGTATTATGATGCTAATGGGGACAGCTAGATGAATATCATTTATTTAACTACATGTAGTTAGCCTTTCTCTGTATTCTGTTCTACGACTTCTAAAAGATCACTTTCCCAGTTACTATCTCATCTGTCTTTTTGCTTTTTCCTCATTGGCATTGAGAAATTGTGATCATTTTATGCAAATGTGGTTTAAAAGATATTTTTTATTTGGAAAATACTTAGCTAAGAGTAAAAAAATAAATTAAAGATTATTCATGCATAGAGAACTGGGGTACAGGTGAGAGGTGCAGGGCAAATTTGGTTTCAAAAGATATTTTTTATTTGGAAAATACTTAGCTAAGAGTAAAAGAAAAATTTAAAGATTATTCATGCGTAGAGAACTGGGGTACAGGCCAGCAGTACAGGGGCAGTGAGAGGATTCACCAGAGACAGAGTGGGGAGCAGAACAGGCTGACTGATGAAGTACACTGCTGAGGGGAGAAGCGGGTAGGTCAAGAGAGGTCTGCAGGATTGTATGGGTCACTTCTGGGAATCAAACTCATGCTGCAGTGGCTTTAGTTTCTTAGTGCTGTACTTTAACTCGCTGCGCCACCAGGGGGGTCCCAAGAGTAAGAATTTGAATGGTGATTTTTGTAAAGAATAGTTTTATGTATGGTAGAACCATAATCTAGTAAGAAAATTATATTGACATGTAGTCATTAAGCAAATTTATATATTGCAAATCCTTTATACACACACACACACACACACGTATGCCAGCACAATACAATAAATTCTCTAGTGTTTAAAGCATTTGTTTTGAAGCTAAGCAGGACTTTGGAACAATTCCAACTTTTAAGATGGCTAATTTCATGAATAAGTTCATTCTCTATTGTCATAAAAATAGGTACGGTGGTGAAGCACAAATGAGATTTCCAACCACTCTCCCTGCACCCAGTAACGTTGGTCCCATCTTGGGATCACCTGTTTACTCCAGTAAGTATAAAATACTGAAGTGTAGCTGTTGCTGATACAGTTTGAATTGTAGAAACTTTGTAGCATATTTTGATGTAAAAGGTCATTTATTACTACTGTTTTGTTAGTGAATATCTTTCAGAATAATAATATTGAGCCCTTAATTATACTATGCAACAAAATGAGCTGTAGCCAATAGTATTTAAAAAACTTGTTATTTATTCAAAAGGAAGGAAGAAGATAAAATAATTTAATAACAAACTCCCATGTTAGTGCTTTCTAAAGGCAGGATTATTCGAAAGTTTGTGGGAAATGAGTTGATTCCCTAATTCTTAAATATATTATGGGCGGCGCCACTCCTCACTGTAATCTTAGAGGTAGGTTTTGAGGTCTGATTTTGATCAGTATCATACAACTGGACAGTAACTGTAAATCTTGAAATTCTTTTCTCCTTAGGTTCTCCTATGCCTACTGGGAGTCCATATCCAAATCCATCATTTCTGGGAACACCATCTCAAGGTATTTCTTTTCTTTGTTTTAGATTTACTACTGTATGCTTTTGGGAGGACAAATATTGTGAGTTATTGTCCTTGATGCTTCGTATGGAAAGACTAATATGCCTTATTCCCTTGAAAATACTGTATGCCACAACCAGGCTTGTCACAAGCAATGGCTTTTGAACATGAATGCCTTTACTTAGGAATTCCTTTAGTAGTAGTATCCCTGGGGAATCTCTTATTTGATATCAAGACTTAATTACCAGCTTTGAGATACATATATTATTAGTTCTAGTTCACTTATAGCATTAAGAGCAGTGATTGCAATTTTCTTTTTCATTCTGCATTGCTAGTGCTTGAAAGCCTACCTGGGGGTAGGTAGGCTGAACCAAATCTAAGTAATGCTTACCAAGGAAAACCAAATTAAATATTCCACCTTTTTTGTAAATATTCTCACCTGTGGGTCTGGAAACAACCCAATTGGGTTATTGAGAATTCTGAATATTATTTAAAGTTAAGTGTTAAGGACCCTCACAGGTGGAATAATGGGTTGAAGTGCAGCACTGCAAAGCTAGCAGCAGCCACTTCAGCCACAAGTTGGATTCCCGCCCTGGAGGTGACCCACATGGCTCAGCAGACCTCTCCTGTCTCACCCGCTGCTCCCCTCAGCAATGTACTTCATGGATCTACCTGTTCTGCTTCCCACTTTTCTGGTGACTCCTCTCACTGCCCCTGCACCCAGTTTTGTATTCATAAATAAATAAATAGATACTTAGATAGATAAATAAATCTTTAAAAATAAATAAATAATGAAGTTAAGTGTTAACATTTGTTTTCCTTGTGTATGTGTGTAGGTATACATCCTGCTGCCATGTCAACTCCAGTGTGTGCTGCAGGAAACCCAGCCGGTCTGGCTGGACCAGAGATTGTGTACTCAGGCAAACACAATGGTATTTGTATTTACTTTTCTCGGATCATGGGGTAAGTTTTTCATGAAATAATTAACTGTTGCTCACCTTGTCCTATTTATGTTGTGAATATTTTTATCTAATTTTGGGACATTGTTCCTATTAAATTTTACCTTTAGTGTTTGCTCATTTGTCTATTAATTATTTTATATCATCTCGTTTTTTACTAATGATCCATATGTGTTGCTATGTTTTACATCCTACATATTTTCAAAATGTGTCTACATATATATTAATATATAGTGTTACAAATCACACTATAACTTGGTGATGTGTGCCTGCAAATCGATTAGATAATTCTGGTCTTAGCTTGATTCACTCATGTATACTCAGTCAACTGTGAGGATGTAGAGAGCTCTGTCAGTTAGCTGGACTCACATGTTTAAGATCATGTTTATATGCTGGTCTTGAACAGTCACAGCTGGAAATCTGGTTTGTTCTCCACATAGTCTCATAGCCTGCACCAGGCAACCTGGTGCCATTCACTTGATGATGAGAGAGACTAGAAACTTGCAAAACTTGAGCGTAAGCTTAAAATTGGCTTCTCCTCGTTTCCTCCCCTCATTAACTTAACCAGGGAGCTATCTTAGGTCATCCAAGATTAGAAAGGTAGGAAATGCATTCTGAGACAGAAATCAAAGTTATATTGTAATGGGAGAGGATAAGTATAGAGAGGTATAATGAATTACATTTTGGCAATCAGTCTGCCATATCATCTAGTTAATAATGTCAAGTTTATATATAATCATGTCACATTTATGTTAATATTATATATTTTACATTTGAGATGCATGCTTTCATTCACACCAGTATTGAAGTTTTTTATAAATTTGTTTTTACTTTACAAACTTCCTTCTTTACAATTAATTACATGAAGTCTTGTGTTCTTTAGCGTATTTCATTTTGTGAAATGACTGAGATTAATCAGACTGGAAAGTATTCCTGCATTTCATCTTTCAAATTATTTAGTAAAATGTTACTAATGTGAAACCATTGCTACACTTTAAAAGCTGAGTGAAGACACTGAAAGGAATTTACTATATTGCTATTGCTTTTATTTACCTGCAGCACAATTATTAAAACATTTTTTATTCCAGAAATATCTGGGATGCCAGTTTAGTTGTGGAGAGAGTATTTAAGAGTGGCAACAGAGAGATAACTGCAGTAAGTGTGTGGCTAATTGCATTCCATTATCTTTGTGTAATGACTTTATGGTATTTTTAAATATTGTTCCACATTTCTAGAAGTTATAAACAAGATTTAATGGTTATTTTTTCATGTGTTTCTATACTTGCCCAATTAACTATCTGTGCCCTTGGGTCAAGTCTTAGCTCTGTGATTAATTGATGAGTAAATTTCTAAACATTTCAGAGTCTGATACCTAATGGAAATAAAAATACTGTATCTCCCCATAAGGTTGTAGTGAAGATTAAATAGTCAATTCTAGTGTTACTCAAAACTAATAAATACTTTGCTTATATACCGGCAAACTCACTGAAACTAGTGCTAAGTTTCATGCATTGATGTGATTTCCACACTGCTTTAAGAAATTGTCTTGTAGAACTATATATCATGATATATTCATGTGGTGAGACTTTTTCATGCGAAATATGAAAGATGATCTTACTTTAAACTTTTTAAAATAAAGATATCAAATACTTCTTCAATTCTGGTACTTTTGAAGTTGACAGAATAAGAATGAATATGAAGTTCGAGAATAGGTAGTACTACAGTGACAGAAGAAGTGTTAGCTTGGGAGGGGGATGAGTAAAGACTCTAAAATTACCAATTTGGGAACTTTCGTGGGTGTTGGAATCTTCCACACTGTGGTCTGGGTGGTGCATGTATTAAACTATTGTCAAGATACACACAAGATTTATGTATTTTCCTGTCTGCAAATCATACCTAATAAAATCAGAATAGTAGAGGAGGAATATGGGGTATATGGGGAATATACCTAATAAAATCAGAATAGTAGAGGAGGAATATGGGGTATGAGCACTTTATTTTGGCCACCAAGTAAGAATTGGTAAAGAAATTACTTTACTGTTTATGAATATAAGGGTTCCTCAACATTAAAACTTTCTATTCAATGATGAATAGAAAGAATATGTGCTTTTGTTATACATGTTTTCAGTACTTTCACATTTGCAAATATTTCCTTCCATACAGATTGAAAGTAGTGTTCCCTCCCAACTGCTGGAGTCAGTGCTACAAGAACTGAAAGGGCTGCAAGAATTTCTAGACAGAAACTCTCAGTTTGCAGGAGGACCATTAGGAAATCCAAAGTAAGAGTGAATAGGATTTATTTTTTCCCCTTTTTTCTGAGAGGTAATTCATGTGTTTTAAAAGTCATCCTTTTAGTATACTCAGTTCAGTTTTTAGTAATTCACAATGTTATGCAATCACCACCATACCATACTGATGTAATTATCACTGCAAAAGATTTTGAATGGACATAGGTTTAGGAGACAATTTTTAATTATAAGAGTAATAGACTTGTAAAAAAAAAAAATTTCATTCCCAGAATTTATGGTTTGAAATATTTACCTCTTTTCCCTGTCCTCCATCTCCATCCTTCCTAGAAATTATCTAGAATTCTAGTTGTAAGTTATTTTTGGTATTGTTTTTCTTTTCTAATATATTCTATTAAAATTTCTGAGGTTGGCTCTTCCTGCCTGCTGTGCCTATGCAAGTGTCTTTTCCTCTCCTGTCTCCTTATAATAAACTTACTCTTTAAATATATATAAAAAAAATTAAATTTCACATTACAGCCACAATTATCAGTTTTATAATGTACTTTTACTAATATCTCGTTAGTGTTTATAAACTTTTCAATGATTTTCTTGGAATTTTCAAATGTGTAACTATAGTTGCAAATAACTATATTTACAGATAGAAATTTTTTTTAAGATTTATTTATTTATGCATTCAAGAACTGGGAAATAGGCCAGAGTTGCAGGGGGTAGGGAGTGAGAGGATTCACCAAAGACAGAGTGGAGATCAGAACAGGCCTGGCTGAAATACACTGCTAAGGGGAGCAGCAGGCGAGACAGAAGAGGTCTGCTGTGCCATGTGGGTCAACTCCCTGGCCAGCTGGGGAAGGGATTGAACTGGGAAGGGATTGAACTCGTGTTGCAGTGGCTGACTAGAGCTTGATAGTACTAGATCTTCAGCCCCTGCACCACCAGCAAGGCCCCTGGGTGAAAATATTCTTAAGTTACATTGTGGTATTTGCATGATATTATTAATATATTTTTTAAATTGAATTGTGTACTTTTTGATGGTTGTACGTGTGGTGTATAAGTTATAGCTCAATGAAACTTACAAATACAAATGCCCATTTTGGACTTCTTTTTTCAGTACAACTGCCAAAGTGCAGCAGAGACTGATAGGATTCATGCGCCCTGAAAATGGAAATACCCAACAGATGCAACAGGAGCTGCAGCGGAAGTTCCATGGCAAGTTATTGCTTCTGATTACTTAAAATGCTTACAACCCCAGTAAGTAAGTAGGTCTCTTACTAAGACCTCGTTTGTGATAACAGAAATATTTTTTATTAAAAATCAGTGTCACTGTGAAAAGTAGGGCAATATGGGTATTGTATTTCATAACTGTCAGCCATTAATTTTTCTGTTTTTCCACTACAAAACATGATACCTATTGTTTCAGAAATAATAAAACTTAGTAAAAATAATGACTTGTTTTTTTTATGGTAGTAATATAACCATAACATAATATTTGTCATTTTAAATATAACCATAACATAATATTTGTCATTTTAATTATTTTAAAGTGTATAGGTAATGGCATTAATTATTACATTTACATTATTGCACATACATCACTACCATCATTTTTCAGGCCTTTTTTCATTTTCCCAAATGAACTTTGTAGCCATGAAGCATTAACTCCCCAGTTACCCTATCCTTAGTTCCTGACCATCACTATTTTATTTTCGATGTGAATTTAAGTAGATTCATACAGTATTTCCATTTGTGTCTAATTTCACTTAACATAGCATTTTCAAAGTTTACGCATTTGCATCGTGTCAGAATTTCCTTTTAAACCTAATATTTCATTATATAAATTTCATTTTTTATCTGTTGATGGATACTTGGATTGTTTCCATCCCATTTTGTGAGTATTATGAAGAATCCTGCTGTCAATTTCAGTCCCTATTTTCAGTTATTTTGTGTTGGATCACATGATAATTCTGTTCCTAATTTTTTGAGAAACTGTCATGCTTTTTTCCATAGTTTAGGTGTATGGCAGACTTTACCATCTAAGTTCTTGTAAAAATGCTCTATGATATTTGTACAACAAAATCACTAAGCTTTTTTTTAGAATGTGTTCTTGTCATTAAGTGACACATGATTCTACTTCTAGTATTTCTGTTAGGTTTTAAGTTTGACAGTACCAACTGGTAAGGATTAATACAAATAGAAGTCAAATCACTGGCATTGTATATACTTTGAAAAAAAGCTTTATCATATATAGTAAGAAGAGCAAATGCACGTATACTTGAAACCACAGTCTTTATCAGACTTCCTAGCACAGTCTTTATCAGACTTTATTCGCCCAGTAAGAAATAAATTTAACATTGTGACCCAGGTGTTTAAAAACATATAGACCCAACTGAAAGAAAATGCTAGGAAATAACTGCCTGCATCATACTCTGATATGTATTAATTTTTCATTCCATTCTTTTTCCCTTTTAAGGGGGGGAAGGGCTGTCATGATTTGCTGACCTAATTTCATAATCAGGATTTGAGAAACTCAGTCTTAGAAAAGCCTGACTATGCATCCCAGGAGACCCTTAGGATATTTTATGGTATTATTGTTATAATATTAAAATATTGAAATTTAAAAAAATATATATTGAAAATAATATAAATGTTCCTAAGGTGAAAAACAGGTCTTGTAGTAAACTTACATGATGAAACACTTACTAATTAAAATAAATGTACTAACCTTATATGTCATTTTATAAAAATTTTACCCCTAGAGGCCCAAGTGAGTGAAAAGGTCTCACTTCAGGCTATCCAGCAGTTGGTTCGAAAATCATACCAGGCTCTGGCTTTATGGAAACTTCTTTGTGAACATCAGTTTACTGTCATTGTAGGAGAACTTCAGAAGGTAAGTTTTATCCAGTGAGATTATATCGTTATCACTATGTTGTTTTGTTTCTTTTGCAGAAGCGTTAATCTTATACTTGGATTGGAGAGGGAATTATTTTAGAAAAACTTTAATTTACAATAAAGTTAGTATGTTATAGGAAGATTGCTCTAAATCCTGATAATTTGAGTATTGGTTTTTTGTGAAAACCACAACTTTTTTTTGCAATATAGAATTTCATGTTCGTCTGTGAATGATTTTTAGCAAAAATATATTCTTTAATGAAGACTGTAATCTTTATTTGAGCTACAGAGTTCTTTGGGATTCTAATCAATATTATCCCCCAGAATACAGACACACACCTCTGGCCTACATTCCAGCTCTTGTATGCATAAATAAATAAAATAAATTGTTAAAAAAGAAATAAATGTAATCCAAGATGTAATGTCATTATATGGTTGGTTGTTTCTGGTTATAACTAAAGTCAAATAATATGACTAAAATTTTGACTGCCTAGGCTTTACTCCCTTATTTGTAAAGTGAGAGATTGAGATTATACAAACTATATATTTTCATATTCCATATGATTTATTGAGTATAAAAGATTGTTTATTTGCCTAGGTTAGTATATTTTCTCTTGAATTACAATCTGTTAGTGTTATAATTATTTCATATTACTATAGAAGTGATATGGTATTCCTAATGTGTTTTCTCTCATACTCCTAGGAATTTCAAGAGCAGCTGAAAATCACCACCTTTAAAGATCTGGTGATCAGGGACAAAGAACTGTCTGGAGCCTTAATCGCTTCTCTTATCAACTGCTATATTAGAGATAATGCTGCTGTTGATGGCATTAGTTTACACTTACAGGATATCTGTCCCCTTCTATATAGCACTGATGATGCTGTCTGTTCTAAGGTATGATACTTTGTTACCTATTTCATTTTCCTAGAAGTGGTTTCATCATATGCTGAAAAGCAAAACACACCACAATTAGGGTGAGAAACTATCTTAATTTACTTAATGTATGACCTGGGATAGCACTCTTAACCACTCCTGGTCTTGAAAGCCTCATACAAAATTGGTTAAAATACATGATTTCTTAAAATCCATGTATATAAAAGTTTTTGTAAAGAAACTTTGATAATATTTTACTCCATGTTTGTGAGGGGGGAAAATATATAAACCTTAGGAATTAAAATCATTAGAGCTTTAAATCCAGGCCCGTCCTGGTGCACAACAGGTTAAAGTACAGCACTATGAAGCTACCACAGCCACTGCAGCATGAGTGGATCCCTGGCCAGGGAGCTGCCCACATGATGTGGCAGACTCTCCTGACCTGCCTGCTGCTCTCCTCAGCAGTATATTTCAGTTAGTCTACCTGCTCTGCGCCCCCCCTCACCCCCCCCCCACCGTCTCTAGTGAATCCTCTTAGCCTCCACACCTCTGGCCTGTACCCCAGTTCTGTATGCATAAATCTTTTTTTAAAAAAAACTTTAAATCCATAATGAATTAGAGTTAATTGGGAAATTTTTTATTGATCCTTTCCTACAGGTGAATATAATTTAAAAAAAAATCAGTGTCACATGGACTGCCTGCTGTATTGACTAGGCATGAGATTTACCAGTCAAAAGCTATCTTGCTTAACGTATTTATGAGAGGATTGAGAATAGCTAGGATTTTTTGGTCAAAAACTTTTCTTCCTAAAATGAAGAAGTAAGTTTGTAGAGTTGTCTTTTTTTAATGATAACCATCCTGATGTAATTTAGATACAGACCAAAACATGCATTGACAGCATCATGTATGTTATTCCTTTTATGCCTTCTAAATTTGTTGCTGTCTCTGTTTCTAGGCAAATGAGCTTCTTCAGCGTTCTCGACAAGTTCAAAATAAGATTGAAAAGGAAAGAATGTTAAGGGAATCTTTAAAGGAGTATCAAAAAATCAGCAGTCAAGTGGATCTTTCCAATGTTTGTGCTCAATATAGACAAGGTGAGAATAAGTTATCCTTCACATCTTCTTAATACAGAGAACATAGGACTGTGTGAATAAAACAGTTAATGAGAACCTCTTCCCTGAGGTTAATTTTAGCTTCAGTGGCCAAATGATGTGACATAGGAAATTAATTCTCAGGGGTGTGTGTGTGTCTGTCTGTCTGTCTGTCTGTCTGTGTGTGTGTCTGCATTTACTCGAGGAACATTGGTTTACAACGTTGTTTGTGTTTTAGGATAGGTTCTTCCCCTCAAGTATTGTTACCACACTGCATCCACCACCAAAATTTCCAGTCTGCTGACACAGCCTATTGTGCTTCCTCCTCACTTTACTTCACCATCTTGTTTCCCCTCGCCTGTTAGCAGACTCGGTTCCACCATCAGCGTTCTAGGTTTTCTTACTTACTAGGTTGCCTTTGTTGGCCTTTATTTCTGTTTCTCTGTTTCCACATAGTTCAATATTTCTGATTTTTCCTCACTTTCTTCACTTAGTAAAGTCCTCTCCAGTTCCATTCGTGTTTCTCTGTTTATATTTTTAATAGCTGAGTAGTAGTTCATTTTGTTTATATGAGTATAAAACAGGTCTTCCTGATCCACTTATCTATATTTGGGTGCTTAGTTTTTTGTAGATTGGCTGTTGTAAACTGTGTTGTGGTTAACATAGAAGTACATATTTCCCTTCAAGTGATGTTTTTGTACCCTTCAGAGAGATACATAGCAGTGCAGGAGCATGCTAGATAGAAGATCCATTTTTAATTTTTTTGAAAAATCTGCATACTGTTTTCCTTAGGGGCTGAACAAGTCCACATTCCTCCCAACAGTGTAAGAGGGTTCTTTTTTCTCCACATCCTCACCAAAACTTGTTTCTGGTCTTTTTGAAATGGGCCATGCTCTCAAATGTGAGATGGGCTCTCTCAATGTGATTTTGATTTGCACTTTCTAGACAAAAAGGGATGATTAGCATTTTTTCATGTGCCTATGGCCATCAGTATGTCTTCTGTGGAGAAGAGTCTATTTAGATAACTCATGTCCACTTTTAAATTGGATTATTTATTTTCCTTTGCTGAGTTGTATGAGTTTTTTGTAAATCCTGGAAAGCAGTCCTTTGTCAAATAATTGGGTATACTGAGTATCTAACTGAGTATACTAACTGGAGTATCTTTTTGTTTTAGCGAGAATTTCTTTCACTGTGCGGGAGCTTTATAGTTTGATGTATACTTTTTTTTTTAATATTTATTTATTTATTCATACAGAACTGGGGTTCAGGCCAGAGATGCGGAGGGTGAGAGGATTCACCAGGAACAGAGTGGGGAGCAGAACAGGCAGATTGTCGAAGTACACTGCTGAGGGGAGCATTGGGCGGGTCAGGAGAGGTCTGCCTCGCCATGTGGATCTCCTCCAGGGCAGGTGGGAATCGAACTCATGCGGAAGTGGCTTAAGCTTCTTAGTACTGTACTTTAACCTGCTGTGCCACCAGGGAGGGCGATGTATACTTTTTAGTTTGGGTATACTAACTGAGTATCTAACTGAGTATACTAACTGGGGTATCTTTTTGTTTTAGTGAGAATTTCTTTCACTGTGCAGGAGCTTTTTAGTTTGATGTAGTCCCAATTGTTCCAGTATCATACTCTTTTGATTAAGATAGTTTTGTATGTTCTGGAATCTGAAAGTGTGATGCCTCCACTGTTCCTCCCTTTTTGCCAGTATTGGTTTTGCCTGTCAAGTTTTTCTGTGGTTCCACATGAATTTCACTTATTTTTGTTCTATTTCTTTGATGAATACTTTTTGAACTTTGATAGGAACTGCACTAATTCTCCATATCGCTTTGGGTAGGATAGAAATTTTGGAAATGTTAATTCCTCTGATGCCGTCTTCCCCAGAAGCTTCTCCATTCTGTTTTAATGATAACTGAACTGTACTCTGCAAAAGCTGTTGTCAGGTTAAATTACTACTTGTATTTATTTAGATTGCTTTCTCATTTGTTTTCAGATGATTTAAGTTTTTTAAAAGACTGTTTGCCTTAAAACAACTTTAGAAGCCTCCCCTGGTGGTGCAAGGGGTTAAAGCACAACACTATGAAGCTATCCACAGCCACCTCAACATGAGTTCCATCCCTAGCCAGGGAGCTACTCATATGGCTCTGCAGTCTTCTCCTGTCTCACCTGCTGCTCCCCTCAGCAGTGTATTTCAGAGGATCTGCCTGTTCTGCTCCCCACATTATCCTTGGTGAATCCGACCCCCATACCATTGGCCTGTACCTTAGTCTTATATGCATAATTAAATTTTAAAAACAAAACAATTTTTTTTTAATTACTTTAGGCCCTCCGTGATGGCACAGTGGGTAAAGCGCAGCACTGCAAAGTTGGCCACAGCCTCTTCCACTTCAGTGCAAGTGTGATCCCCAGCCAGGGAGGTGCCCACATGGCACGGCAGACTTCTCCTGACCCACCTGCTGCTTCTCTCAGCAGTGCACTTCAGTCTGCCTGTTCTGCTCCCCACTCTGTTTCTGGTGAATCTTCTCACCACCCCACACCACTGGCATGTACCCCAGTTCTGTATGCATAAGTAAATAAATCTTTAAAAAAAAAAAAGATTTTAAATGTAATAAAAGTAATAGCTTGTAACACAGAAATGTTTCAAATTCAAAATTTTCTTTTCACCAACACATAGCTGAAAATCTACCTTTTTGCTATTTTAAATATGAAAATTTTTCCAACAAGGGAGGCATATATAATAGCTGTCCTTCTGGCGTGTTAGGACCTTGTTCTTCAATAAACTCATTCGAAATATTTTAAAACTCACTAGAAATATTTTATAGAATATTATATCCTGGGTAACTCTTAGTATATAGTAGTACTATATAGTAACCTTGATCAGTATTTTTATATTCAACTAAGGAAAAACGTCTCCCCTCAATAGTACACCTTAACCCTATCTGTTTTCTTTCTGACTAGTACGTTTCTATGAGGGTGTGGTAGAGCTTTCTCTAACTGCTGCAGAGAAGAAAGATCCTCAGGGTCTTGGACTTCATTTCTATAAACATGGAGAACCAGAAGAAGACATTGTGGGACTTCAGGCTTTTCAAGAAAGGCAGGTTTTACTACCTTACCTTTACTTACCAAATTGAACTGTATGGATGTTTTGTGTGTAAAGTTTGGTAGATTTAGGAAAATAGTATTTCTAGTACCGACTCATGAAAGTGAATTGCACTTGCAACTACAGACACTTTGTTAAATGCCTGAGTCAGAATTATCATTCTTAGTTCTAAGAAAAAAATTTTGGTCTAGTGAAAATTCTTCAGGATTTACAAATCTTTCAAACTTGCCTCTGTGGTTTTACTGAGATTTTATTAATGTCAAATTTAAATGAAATGACTTCTTTGGGGAAAAAATTGACTTCTTCCCCTACCTCTGGTTCTGGATGAAGATTAGTATTCTATTATAAACTATGATTTTTAAATGTTTACAAACTAGTGGAGATTTACAGTAGAAAATGTCTGTCTGCAAAGGAAGCGTATGACTTATATAAGACATTTCTGTTCATACACTTGTTTTTGTGGCTTTTCCCTGTTTCATGTAATCAAATTCTTGTCAAATCTATTAAGAAAAAAATATGATTTCTGATTTTTAAAGCTAGGTATGTATATACTCAAATTATCTTCATATGTCTTTTGTGTATTTGGATAGATAAAGTAAATCACTTTCTAAAAAAGTAATGTAATTATTCTTTTTACAAATTCCTTCCAGATTAAATAGTTACAAGTGTATTACAGACACACTTCAAGAACTTGTAAATCAAAGTAAGGCTGCTCCTCAGTCTCCCAGTGTACCCAAAAAACCTGGGCCTCCAGTGTTGTCATCTGATCCCAATATGCTGAGCAACGAAGAAGCTGGGCATCATGTAAGGGATAAAGCATTTTTCATTATGAAAATAAATATATTGTCTATAAGTTCTTTGTGGTAGTCAGGATAGTCATCTTGGGACAGATTTGATAGCAAAGGATTCGTACTATCTTATGAAGAGTTTCTAAGGCTAAGAGTTGTGATGTTCAGTAACTAAGCCTTAAACTATGCTAATTTTTCCTGTTTTCTTTATTTTAGTTTGAACAAATGCTTAAATTATCTCAACGATCCAAAGATGAGCTATTTAGTATTGCCCTGTATAATTGGCTAATACAAGCTGACCTTGCAGATAAACTGTTGCAGGTAAAAAAATGTTTTTGTTTTTTTTACTTTTGTTAATTTATATTTTTTAAATAGCACAATTTAGTTAAGCAAATACATAATAGTAGGAAATATACTTTCTCATACTTTAACAACCAGTGAGTGTTAATATAAAACAACTAATGTATCTTTTTCCTATTGGACAGAGTATGTTACTCTTTTTCCTAAGAAGCTGATTGGGACTTGGGGAGGGAAATCATTAGATTGTGAATTTTTGGAGACCTGCAATTTGTCTTAGTCACTGTGTGACTTCACACTTTTCACTACCGTAAGACTTACTCTGTAAAATGAATACATGGAATCTAATAATGCAAGGATACCTTTATGTTCAGAATCTATGAAGCAATAGCTGTGTTCTCAAAGTATTAATTTGGTTCTACTATTAGTTTTAGAACCTGATGCAACTATTACAATTTTTATTAACTGGTACAACAAAAATCATTTATAATTAAATATCTTTTTATTGAACTATTCTTGGATTATAATTCTGTTTATTATTTCATAAAGTATGGTATGACTATACTTCTCTTTAAAATATTGTTTTTAGTATATGAAATATAGTAGGTGGTCAGAAAATGTTTCTGAGTTATTGTACCATTTCCAGATTGCTTCTCCATTTCTGGAGCCACATCTAGTTCGAATGGCCAAAGTTGATCAAAACAAAGTTCGTTACATGGATTTACTCTGGAGGTATTATGAAAAGAACAGAAGTTTTAGCAATGCTGCTCGTGTCCTGTCCAAATTGGCTGACATGCATAGGTATGACGTAATGCTCTTATGTGAAGAATGAATGATAACTGAGTTGTATGTACTTACATCCAGATTTCAGAAGTTAAATAAAATGTTTCAGATTATACACATGTAGAATATTTTTGTTTTTCCTGTGGAGGCACTAAAGGAATACCTAAGAGCCTCTTTGTTTTATCAAACTACCTTCCAAGTTCTTTATGTTTTTTGCTATTAATAATTAATTATTACTCTGAATTGAAAGACCAAAACTACTTCTCACAGGCTTTATAGTTAAAAATTTTACCAATGCCACATTACTTTACGCTTCTCATTGATTTAAATTACTAAAAAGATCTTACAGCATGCATATTAAGAATTAAGAATTCTGTGAATGCACTGAAATTTCTTATTAATCACATCAAAAGAAATTTCAATAAGATCTTTGATCATTAATTTGACCACATGACATTTTATTTGGAATTTACTTGCCAAAATAATACAAGTGCTATTTTTAAAAACTGGAAATCCACTAAGTTATGAAAAGGACGCTACTGACACAAAATTTTACTTAAACAAGTCAGAATGGTTCCTGAAAGAACAGACACGGCTAGTAGCAAGTGCAGTGAGTGTGTACATGCTCTTACCCAGGTGTGTGTATTGCATAGTGGATGTGAGGCAACTTTTACTTTTGTTGCTGTCTTTGGTCACTATAAAAACTTAATAAATGACCCTTACATATAGAATATGACAGATATAAGTGATTTTAATGTCTTTGTCTTTTATAAAAAGACAAAGGAGAATAAAAGGAGAATAGTTTATGCTAGTAAAGGTCTACAAAGCAGTTTCTGCTTAAAGCTGTGGTTAAGTTCTAGTTTGTATAATGGAATTGGCAACATTATTAAATATTTCATTCACTGTAGCTTTATAGGTTAAGATTATTGTTCTGTTTCCTACTGTTTGAATATGCTATACTGTACTGTATGAATTGTGCCTTCTTCCAGGTCTTTACTTTAGTACATTTCTGGATTATTCTTGTCATTCTTCTTAGTCCCAGATACCATTACTGCACACAGATATTATCCATGTGTATTTCATGCATACTTACAGTCTAAATCCCCTAATGTGAAATAACTGCCCATTCATATTTAGCTCATAACTTACTATTTTTCTAACTATTGTATTACTTGTCACTCTTTTTCAATATGCTCTTTGCATATAGGCCGAATTAAATAAATAGCTCTAGAATGTTCTATTTAAATAAATTAGAAATTTACATATTTTTTTAATGTTCCAAGTGGGTGTTTTTTTAGCAGTAAAAATGAAGGGAAAAGCTTTTTTAGAAACTGGGTTTCTCAGTATTTCTGTCATTTTTGTGTAAACTTGAGAGATACACAGTGCTGTCATCCATATCTATACACTGAAAGAAGGGATAAAAATTAATTTCTCATTTATTTTGGTTTCTTGTTGGGAGAGGAAGGATATAGAGCCATAGCTATACAGAAGAACAGGCTAAGTAAGATCTTCTCTGTAAGTAAAAGAAAGTATTTTCATAATACAGATTAGAATTAATTGGGTTGTCAAAAATTGTCTTTAATGCTGGTTGATCAGAGTGGTTTCCTACAATTAAATGAATTAGTCTAATGCCAGCATGCTTTGTAATGTCAAACCTGGTCTGATAATGTTAGGATACTAGAAAGGACTAACTCTGACAACTGTGACATGAGTACATGATTAGGACTCTCTGGCATCTATTAGTCTACTGATTGTGAGTACCAGTGATGTTTAAAATGTACAAGAAGGAATATGAGTAAGATTGACACCATCCCTGTTTGCCAAGTCCCCTTTTTAGTGAGTAAAGGCAATAAACAAGATGACAAAGCAAAAATTAGGATAATATATTAGAAGTGCCTTTGAGGTTGGGGAAGCTTGCTTAACTAGGAGGAAATCAGAGAAGGCCTCAGACAAATTATCACTAAAATTGGGTCTCAAGTGACAAGAATAGGCAACTATGTAACAAATGGAGGAAAGTGATTCAGTTGGAAGCAGATACTCTGTGCAACAGACATACCTGTATTGTGTTTAGAACACAAATGTCACTGGGACTGGAGGTGGTAAATAGTGGGGGTAAAGGGGGATAGAAGGAGATGGCATTGGAGGAATATCTAAAGTGATAGGAGAGATCCAGAAAATATGTGACTTAATCTGACTTTTGTTTTTACAAGGTCATTCTATCACTTTCCACATTTTAGTGCTTCTAAATTCTGTCTGAGTCTAGCTTCATGTGTGTTTTGGGTTTTCCTGAAAACTTATTAAATGGATATACATTTTAAAAGAAAAGTCATTCTGGTTGCTCTGTTGAAGATGAAATATAAGATTGCCCATATTAAAGTAGAGAAGAAAAAAATATGAGGAGTGATAAGGAATATTTGATTTAATTTTAGAAGAATAAGTTTAAAATGGAAAGTTAATATTTTAGGCATACACATAAGTATTTCTCTGTTGCTTTAAATTGTGAATTGCTTTTTATTACAAATCAATTCCCTAAAAACTTTTTTAGGTTTCAAAAAGCTTTTTGTTTTGATTTAATATGAAATAGTAAATCATAATTGTTATATTTTTATCTTGGGTCCTTAAGAATTCATATAAATAAAAAATAAGGGTTTGTTTTTTTTTCCCCACCTAGCACAGAAATTTCACTTCAGCAGCGATTGGAATACATTGCTCGAGCCATTCTTAGTGCCAAAAGTTCCACTGCCATATCATCAATAGCTGCAGATGGAGAATTTCTTCATGAGTTAGAAGAAAAGATGGAAGTAAGTGCTAAAGATACTAAACATGAGAAGTGGCCAGATTTTCTTTCACTCTCCCCTCTTCCCATGGTAAATAATAGGTCCCTAGCAGCCAGAATATTGAACTCTAATTTCTGGTTTTTCCCAAATGTTTCAGCACCAATCAGATTATACCACATTCACCATTTATTTATTCTTGAAGTTAATGAGCAGATGTATGAAGCAGAGTAGGCTAAACTGCCTAAACTAAGAGACCCACAAATATGTAATAGTTCAAATACAAAAAATTACTCCTAAATCACAGAAATCAGAGTGGGAGTTCCTAGTTAGCTGGTGACTTTTTTCAACACTTGCATGATTTCATGAGAGTTCTATTTTCTAGCTCTACCATTACCTACAGCCTCATCTTTTTCTTTGGTCAATGTGAGGAAGAGAAAATAAAAAAAAAACCATGTAAGAAAGGAATATTCACTCTTAAAAAGCTTCAACCTGAAGTGACATACTTTACTTTCATTCACATTCTTTTGAATTGAATTTAGTCTTATGACGATACTCCCCACAGTAGAGCTTAAAAAGTCTAGTCCAGCCACTTACCGGGCTGTCATCATGGGGGCAGCCAGGGCTCTCTGTCCCAGTGTACTTTCTGTGAAATATTTGTTTGATGAAAGTTGCTAGTCTCTTACAAGAGAAGTTTTTATTTGTACATCAATTTTATTTTGACTCAAAGTGAGTTATTTAAAGTACCTGTTTGGTTCATCACAAAGAACTTAAGGATCTCCTTTTTTCTGCCTAAACTAGGTTGCTAGGATCCAACTTCAGATTCAAGAGACACTACAAAGGCAGTATTCCCATCATTCTTCTGTACAGGATGCAATTTCTCAGCTGGATTCTGAGCTAATGGACATAACTAAGGTATTAATAATAATAAAGTTGGAATTCCTGTAGCAATCACCTAATATCTACAAATTCCTTGTTTTTGGCATTTTACTTTTGTTTCACAAGAAAGATTAACCTCTGTAAAATAAGCCATCCTCGGAGGCACGTCATGGGCTGACAGGTCACTGCTATGATCTGACCCTTAGAACTAAGTTCTTTGTTCCTGACCAATAACTGTCAAGAGCCTATCAGCCTTACAGGGGGCTTTTCAAAAACTCGTAAGTTTGCTTCTAGGAAAGTACTTAACTTTCTAAACCTGCCATTCTGTATCCCTCTAGGTAATTCTTCATTATCAGTTATTCTTGAGTAGGATTCTAAGTACCCTGAGATTTGTCATTATTTCCATGATTCTTTAAACCCTAGTTTAGGTAGCACTAGTTCTAAAAGAAATGTATTGCAGTATCTCTTAGCCAAGGGGGGGGAAAGGTAAACATATTAAAATCTTTTGAATATTTACTGAGCATTCACTATTTTTAATCTGGGGTTAGGGCCCACTACCATGTTTTTACATCATATACTGTTTATTTTTAACTTTCAAACAGCGCTTCACTATTAATTTCTGAAAACTGACTTCTAGTTGTATGTATAATGTTAACATTGTCTCCCACAGCTTTATGGGGAATTTGCTGACCCATTTAAACTTGCAGAGTGTAAACTTGCAATAATTCACTGTGCTGGTTATTCAGACCCTATCTTGGTACAGACACTGTGGCAAGATATCATAGAGAAAGGTAAGTGTTCCCTTACAGCTATATTAGTGAGCATTATTTAGTGATGTGATAGATGAGTTCAAGCTCTTTGTGATTCAAATCCCTATGCCTCATAAGACCTAGATTTATCTTAATAGAGTGTAAGTGGATAGTACTTAAATAAGGTAGAGGGTGGTCTCTGAAGATTGATCTCAGTAAATATTGGAGATAACTCAGAGAAAAGGATGTGTCAACTTTATGTTACTCAATGGTCTGGAGACAGGTTATTCCCCCCAATCTCACTGCTAGTGCCTTAGTAAAGTAGAAATATAATCAGACACTAACAGAAACACAGAATCTGCTTATTACTCAATGTGAATGTCAATTCTTAGGGCATTTTGTACTTTAAAACAATGAAAATGAAAATTTAAATGTTTAAAGTAATTAAAACAGATTGTGTTTCGAATGACATGTCTCTCTTGCCTACAGAACTGAATGAAAGTGTAGCTTTGAGTTCCCCAGACAGAATGCATGCTCTTAGTCTCAAGATTGTGCTCCTTGGCAAAATTTATGCTGGCACACCTCGCTTCTTTCCTTTAGGTAAGACGTAACCTTAGATTCTGTCATGTTTGATTTTTTTTTTTTTTT